AAACCTGTCCCCACATGCACAAACCACCAAATAAACACCTAAATTAAAAATTTAAATTATAAATCTTTAAGGTGCTGGTCCTGGTGACATGGGCCTGTAATCTCAGTTACTTAGAAGGTTAAGGCAGGAAGATTATAAGTTCAGGGCCTGTCTAGGATACAGAGTGTTTAAGGCCAGTTGGGCAACTTGGAGAGGCTCTTTCTCAAAGGAAAAGTGAGAAGAGGGCTGGGGGTGTAGCTCGGGGCTAAGAGTACTGGCCCCACATAGTCAAGGCCTTGGGTTTGATACTCAGCACCACACCCCCAAAACAAAATAATTCTTTGGAAAAAAATCTCCACCACTGTATAACCACATAGCTTGATGACTCTGCACATGGGAATCCCATTGTCCCCTCCTGACCACATAGCATGATGTCTCTGCACACAGAAATCCTATTGTCCCCTCCTGATTACACCAAGACCAGGAAGGCCAAAGATTGACTAACTGGGCACACCTGACCCCGAGGATGAACTGCCCACAATCCAGATCCAGAGCCTGAGGCCATTAAGAGCAAGATTCAGTTAACAAGTATAGAGAGATCAGAATGATACAGTATAAAAGACAGGACCTTCCCTTTCGGGAGCATATGAGGGGAACAGGCCCACAGAGTGAGACCAAGACACAAAGGGATGCAATTAGGACACAGCTCAGTGCTGGCTATGCTACCTGGCACAAACCCTGCATCACGTCCCTTGAGGAATGAAAATTACTCTTAAATGTAGTGAAGTGAGCAGGCATGGTGGCACTGGCCTTTAATCCTAGCACTCTGAAGGCAGAGATAGGTGGATCTTCATGAGTTCGAGGCCAGATCAGCCAGGGCTACACACCAGAGAAACCCTGTCTCAACACCCCCCACCTCCAAAAAAAAAAAATTAGTGGAGTGTGTGGTCCTCAAGGAAGTCCTTTTCCCAAGGTCAGGTATTTGGATAAGGGCCTCAGTTCCCTCAGGGGCTTAAGGAAAGTTCCTGATTCAAACAGCCGTGAGACCACTGAACTGTAGCTTATCATGTGATGCATAAACTGTTATGGCTAAGCCACTCAATTAGTTGAGTTACTTTCAACCAAAATCATGTTCACCAAAGAGGCTTTTGAGCTGCTTTCCAAATACACTTTCATCCAGGGGACCACAAACGCAATAATACAACACAGACTGAATTCTAACTCCAAGACCTAGTGGGGATTTTCCCACTTCGGATAGCGCCATCCTTTGCAGGGCTCCCCCTGCTGGGTCCTTGGGGGAGTGGCAGGCTCATGTCTGGATGTGAAGTTCCTACTACAGCTGAGGTCTGGCAAACTGTTGATAGCCTGGGGTGCTTCCACCTGGTAGCTCCATCTTCTAGGCACACTTGGATTCCTGCCCTCAAGTGCTGCCAACAGAGCTCTTCTCAATCCTCAGTTCAGACCTGTGTCCTTTTGAGTTGACAGTCCCTGTGGAAGGACTGAGTGTGCCTGTTCCATGAGGCCCTACCTGGTTGCTGCACCTGCTTGCGTTAACTGTGGTCTCTAGCTATTAGCCTGCACAAGTGTTCTCCATATTGTCCTCCTGTCCATGAATCACTCCCAGCACTATACATATGAAGGGCTTAGGACAGTGTGTTCAGATTTGAGAATATTTGCAAATTCATAATGAGGTAGCATGAACCTGGAAGTCAAGTTTCACATATGTCTTCTAGATACTATCTGAATTTTTAAATATTTTATTAGTAAGTCAGGACCGTGAGGGGTTGGTCCACCCACTGAGACAGTGTGCCTGATCTAATGGGAGCTCACCAAAGCCAGCTGGACTGGGACTGAATGAGCATGTGATCAGACCAGATTCTCTAAATGTGGCTGACAATGAGGGTGGAACTGAGAAGCCAATGATAATGGCACTGGGATTTGTCTCTACTGCATATACTGGCTTTTTGGGATCCTAGTCTGTTTGGATGCACACCTTCCTAGGTCTGGATGGAGTGGGGAGGGCCTTGGACTTCCCACAGGGCAGGGTACCCTGCTCTCTCTTAGGACTGGGGGGGGTGGGGGAGGGTGAGTGGGGGAGCAGGAGGGAAATGGGAGGAGAGGAGGAAGTAGAAATTTTGAATGGTATTATTTATAAAGCAATAAAAAAGAAAACCTAAATACTAAAAAAAATTTTATTTCTTTAATTGTGTATGTGGTGGGGGGAGTGGGTGTCCACATGAATGTAGGTGCCCATGGAGACCAGAAGGATTGTTGAATCCCTTGGAGCTAGAGTTACAAGACTTTGTGAGCTGCCTGACCTAGGTGCTGGGAACCAAACTCAAGTTCTCTGTGTTAGGAATTTTCCTAATGTGAGCTCTCTGCCCATGCAAAAATCCCAATCAAGCCAAATCACAACAAGCCAAATTAAAAAATATCCAGGTTTAATGGGATTCCTGCGCTCTCAGGTGGCCCTGGGGGTGACCACGGTGTGTGTGTGTGTGTGTGTGTGTGTGTGTACACATGACCACGTGATTCTCCTTTGAGAGCTATCTTAAAGCTATCTAAAATACCCTGTGGGAGTGGTCTGGCATGCTGGGGGCTGGGGGCTAGGCTCCCAATTTAACATTCTGGAAGAGCAGGAAGTGTTCCTAATAACTGCTGAGTCATCTCTCCAGCCCTCAAAGCTCATTTCACGTGATGTTTGTTTGTAGTCAGGATCTCTCTGTGTCATCTTGGATGTCCTGCAGCTCTTCATGTCTATCAGACTGGCCTGCCTCTGCCTCCCCAGAGCTGTAATGGTGATCCCACACACACCTGACCCATGCAATATTTCAAATAACTTTGCTCATTAACAAAGTTTCACAGCCTAGAGTTTGCACTTCCTAGAATTTGCAATGAAATTATCCCAGATCTTGGAGCGTTTTAGATCGTGGATTTCAGAACTGGGGATGTTTGATCTGTGCTACCTTATGTTTAGAAAGGATTTTGTTGATCAAGCACCAGACTTGCTTTGATGTAGGATGTAATAATAGTTCATTAATTCTCACGTCAGCCCTAGGAGGTGGGTCACAGACCTCTTGGTTTGAATGCATTAGACAGGATCTCATTTTGTAGCCCTGGCTGGCCAGAGACTTGCTTGTGTAACCTAAGACAGTCTCAAACTTGCAATCATCCTCCCTCTTCCATCTCCTGACCCATCACGGTCAGAACCTTCTTATGGATCCCTTTTTACAGAGAAGAAACAGGGTGCAGGACATTCACCATCTTGTTTAAGGTCACACAGCACCTCCTTGTTAAGCACATGCTAGTAGAGGCAGCTCTGCCCTGGAATGCATGCTGTAATTGACATGTTGTTCTGCCTCTTCTGAGGAGGTGGGGGTGGGGGGAAGTTCCTCCTGAAAATGCTAATAAAAGTCAGTGTGTCATTCACAGGAGGTCAAGGCTGTACTGATGGTGGACAGAAAGTAAAATAGCAGGGGTGTACACGCTAATTAGAATTAGCAGGGGTGTACACACGCTGATTAGAATTAGCAGGGGGTACTCTGAAGAGGTGTTGGCACGGAAAAGGCATGAGGAAATTTTCTAGAATACTTTATTCACATCTTTACCTGGATGGTAATTATTTTACTGTGGTCAGGTATAAAAATTAACTTCACTGGGACTCTTCAATTAACACTTCCCCATTCTTCTGTTGCGAATCTACCACTTTGTCCCAGTAGAAATGTAGGAGCCAGCCATGATAAGCTAAATATGAACAGATCACCCAAAGGAAGTTCTTTACTATGTTCTATGTACTAAGTTCTAGCCATACATAAGTTTAATGGAGGCCTGAGTCTCAGTAGTTTACCCTGAAGCAATACCTGGTTACAGGAAGAACCACAAACTGAGATTACCTGAGCACCACCCAAGAGCAGACCATACAAAGGAAATGCCTAATGTTCCAACCACTGTACATAGGATCACACACTCACCAGGACACCCCTAGACAAATGTCAGCCAACCAGGGGTCCTGAACCTCAGATATCCTTCACCCCCACCTTTACTACTATAGAAACCCAACTCTAATTGAGCTCAGGGCTCTCCATTTATTCCAATACGTTGGACACATGGAGAGACCGAGTTTGCAAACTTGCATAAAATAAAGCCTCTTTGCTTTTACATAAGGGATTCGGTCTTCTTGTTGGCATTTGGGGGACTTCACAGATTTGAGCATAACAGAAACACTCATTCAAAAGTGTCAACTGGGTTGAGAATCCCAGACCCCAAAACCCCAAATCTGAAACTTCTTTAGTCCATACATAAAGTCACAAAGGGAAATTCCATTTGACAAAATGTTGCTTCATGTACAAAATTATTTAAAATAATGTCAAAAATTACCTTGAAACTATATAAAGTAGAAATGAAACATGAGTGAATATTGTTTTTAGAATTGAATTCCAGTCCCACAAATTCTCATCATACATATATGAAAATATTCCTAAATCAGGGGAGGGGTAAGGTTTCAAATTGACAGCGGCTCTGGTCCGGACATTTCAGATAAAGGAGTCACAAGCTGCCACACCTGAACTTGGAGTGTGTGTACAAAGGCCCTCCATTGGTAAAGCCAGCAGAGCAAGGCTTACAGAAGTGCCACAGAGACTCTTAGCCCCTTTCACATACAAGGAAGTTGGGACTGTGGAAAAGACATCTGACTACAATCCCAGGGATAGAGATTGGTAGGTGGCAACCCAGGTCCACAGCTTATCCACAGCCTGTCCTCAGCTTCTTCCTCTCTGGCAGCTGGCTAGCCAGGGCCTTGGAACAGTCACAGGGATGGCAGAAGTCAGAGAGGGCAATGCCCGTATTTGCTCAAGCCCTGCATTCCCACCCCTCCTTGCTGCAGACTGATGTTCCTTTTGTTTTTGCCCTTTTTTAGTCATGGCCCTGCCTGCCAAACTCCACATTCCTGATGGGGACTCAGGCAGGTGGGGGTGGGGACTGAGGCTGAGCCCTGAGGTGGTTCTCAGGCCTCGCAGGCTCACCTTGCAGCATGCTTCTGTAGGCTGTGTCAGCAATGGCATAGATGTGGGGTGGCATCTCGTGCCTCTTCTTGCCCTTGTACATGTCCACGATCTTTTCTGAGTAGATGGGTAAGTGCTTGTAGGGGTTGATCACCACACAGAAGAGGCCGGAGTAGGTCTACAAAAGAGAACCAGGCTCAGTTCTGGACTTTTGGATGGGTGGGAGAACTCCTACACCCCAGTCAGCAGCCTCATGCCATCGTGGGGGAAACTGAGGCTACTCAGAAACTCAGCAGGAGTCTTGTGGAGAAGGAAGAAAAAAGCAAGATTGAGTTGTTTCCCAGTCACGTGTGGTTGAGTTAAACCAGTTTTAGGCTCCCAAACCCACCATCTCACTAAGCCTCAGGAACTTAACTTGTATGTCTGTCTGCACATGCTCATGTGTGGGGTACACATGTACATGTGTGCAGGCATGTGGAGGCCACAAGTCAACATGGGGCCTCTTCTCCAATTCCCTCCTCTTTAGTGTTTAAGATGGGCTCTCTCACCAGTTTGATTAGGCTGGCTAACAATAAGCTCCAAGGATTCCCGCCTCTGCCCTCCTAGCATCAGGGTCAGAGGAGTGTGGTCACTACACCCAACTTTTCTCCATGGGTGCTGGGAGCTCAACTCGGGTCCTCTTAAAGGAATAGCAAGCACTTTACCAACAAGCCAGCAATCCCCAAATTCCTTTTTTTTATTTGATTTTTTTATTTGATTAAAATATAGACTGCTACTTACAGAGTACCAGTGGGTAATGGTAGCACATGCCTTTAATCCCAGTACTCGGGAGCAGAGGCAGGTGGCTCTCTGAGTTCAAGGCCAGCCTGGTCTATAGAGTGAGTTCCAGGACAGCCAGGGCTAAACAGAGAAACCCTGTCTCAAACAATAAAACAAAACAAAATGAATAATAAAGACAATGTGGTTTTTAATTTTTAACAGAAAGAGTCAGTGATAAAATAGCTAACCACAAAAGCCTGAGGAGAAGGGAGTAACGTGTAGGCAGTAAGACTGCCCTAATCTTATATAAAAAGGGGACAATGTGATTGAATGATGCTATTATTTATTGAAGAAGTCTTAGAAGTAATTTAATAATTTAGGAATTTAATTTTTTTAAAGATTTATTTATTTATTTATTTATTTATTTATTTATTTATTTATACAGTATCCTGCCTATACGCCAGAAGAGGGCACCAGATCTCATTACAGATGGTCATGAGCCACCATGTGGCTGCTGGGAATTGAACTCAGGACCTCTGGAAGAACAAGTCAGTGCTCTTAACCGCTGAGCCATCTCTCCAGCCATAATTTAGGAATTTAATAATGACAAGTGAGAGGCACATATCTCAAACCAGAGCAGCCACTGAAAACAGAAGCAATGGGTGCTAACCCGCAGTAGGGAGGATGCATCTTACTATGTATAGCATGTTCAACGGTGAAAGGGAACAAAGGCTGGGGGTGTGGCAGTGGGTAGAGTGTTTGCCTAGAATGCTCAAAGCCCTGAGTTTTATCCCCAGCACCACATAAAGTATCTGGAATCCCGGTACTCAAAGCATCAGGAGTTCAAAGTCATCCTCAACTATAAAGCAATTTTGAGGCCAACCAGGGCTACATGAGATCCTGACTTCAAAAAAGAAAAGGTGGTGGTGAAATGACAAGGAATAAATGTGAGAAATAACAACAAAAATCAAAAGCAAATTACACATGCTGCTCTTCACAGTTGCGCGATTGGTGAAGAGAAGGAAAGGACCACTGGGGCTACAGTGGCCTCAAAGGCCCAAGTCCTTCCTGGTCAGGAGAGAGCAGAGCAGTGACAGGAGACCTGCACCGACCAAGAGGAGTGCTGGGGTGACCATGGTGATTCCTGGGGTGCTGAGTCTTAAAGGATCAGGGGATTGAAGGCTCAGGGCAGAGAGGGAGGCAGCAGGCAGCACGTGGGCTGTAGCTGGAACAATCAGAGGGAGGAGGCATCTTTGGAGGTCAGCAGGGGCCAGGACAGCCTCCAGCTTTGGCTCCCAGGTCAGGGCATTCTCTGACCTGAAAAGGCCAGCTGCAGTCACCTCTACACACCTGAACTCCTGTTCTGTCCTCTTCAGCCCCAACCTAAGACTTGGCAGAGAGCAGGTGCTAATTAAATGCTTACTAAATGACTGCCAAGGTTAAGTTGAAGCCTCCCCAAGGGTAGATGCAGCTTGCCTTTGCTGTACGTCCTAGAGACCTTGAACTGCACACAGTAGGTGTTCAAAGGACTTCTGTGCCACTACTGTTCCTTCCTATCCCCGACATACCCAGGCTCTCAAAGAGTAGTGTCAGTAATTAATCATCTTACTGAAAATCATCAGCCAGGCTTTACCCCAGAATGACGTCACTTATGTATGGGACACTACCACCATCTCCTACCCCAGTCTAAACCCCAGGCATAAATGACATCATTCTGACTGCTCCTGGGTATGCTTGAGGTAGTTTATTGTAGGTACAAGGGAGAAAATAGAGGAATTTGGAAGGGTTCAGACTGAACTGGGCTGTGAGAGGGCAGTGGGGAGCAAGACAGAGGAACAAGGAGCCAAGAAGCCAGGAGACCTTGAGGCAAAAAGGACATGGAGCCAAAATGTCTAGGTCATTTGGAAAGAGCAGGCAGGGGTGGGGGACAGCAAAGCTCAGGGGCTAGAGAGTTTAGGGTAGGGGAGGCACGCCAGCCAGGATGACCCTTTAGCAGGAGATGCTGGGAGAGCCTAGGAACAGTGGCTGCCTTGATATGTTAAATACACACCTTGGCTAGCCAGTTGTCCTGAGTCTGAGACCTAACAATTTCCTGCTTGCCTCTCCTTTGGAGCCCAACTACACAGCAAGCACTTAATCCACACTCGAGGCAAATGTGAGTCTGCTCAGTTGGCAAATCCTCTAGCGCAAACCAGGGTCTCATGTCCAGGACAGTCCCTCTCCTGATGCTTGCTTGAGTTCAGAGGTCCCAACATAACCTCCCTTCCCGTGTCCCAGTCAGGCATCTCAAAGCTCAATGCCACCAGCAGGTCCCAGCTGGAGTAGGATCTCTTTTTTGTGACCGTATTAGGAAGCAGGCCTGGCTGCTCCTCATGCTTTATATGGTCAGCCACAGAGCACAGAGCAGAAGCTGCTCCCAAGGCCTTGGCCTCAGGAAAAGAGGATTGGAAGTGATGGGGAAGAAGCTGAGGGACAGACATATGCCAGGGGGCAATCTCAGCTTTGCCTCTTAACCCATTAGATGTGTGCATAGCCCAACCGTGAACCTCCTCTTCCCTCCAGAGACTAATCGGAACCCTGTATTTTCTACAAGGTTCTCTGTGGCATCAGCACTTTCTGGATAGCTATGCTGAAGACAGACACTTCACAAGAATGTACTTCTACTGTGGCTGGAACCAATGACAGCTGGGCAGTGTGTTAGTGGGGGCAGTCTTGCTGGGCAGTGTGTTAGTGGGGGCAGTCTTGCTGGGCAGTGTGTTAGTGGGGGCAGTCTTGCTGGGCAGTGTGTTAGTGGGGGCAGTCTTGCTGGGCAGTCTGTTAGTGGGGATAGCTTGCTGGTATAGTTCATGGCCTCAACAGGAGATCCTACTCTGCTATGAAGAGTACACACGCAGATACAAGGATAAGCAGAATGTGGCCTGCGCTGCCACTTTGAGGGAACAGAGCGTGTTCTGCATTTATCTAAAATGTATAAAATAGTGTCCAGGACTTGTTAAACAACAACAACAAAACAACCAGGAATTAAAAATAGTGGGATCACACCTATAATCCCAGAGCTGGGAAAACTGAGATGGTGAGACGGAAGGATATCAAATTTGAGGCTAGCCTGTGCTAAGTAGTGAGATCCTGTCTCCAAGCAAATGGTGGGCCAGTTTCTCTGAGGGTGGGGGTGAAGGATAAGAAACTGGAATGAAAGGGAAGGCTCTCTGTTCCCTCCCACAGCTTTTTACTAGCTGTGGCCCTCAGCTATCAGTCGGCCTAGATCTGACTAGACAGGTACTGACGGAGGTAGAAGACCACAGTGCAGCCGGGCAAAAGGAGCAAGATGCGTAAGGTTCAGGGAGTGGGACTGTTGTTAGACTCTCCATCTGCACAGATAACCCGGTCAATCACATTTGTGCCCAAGATAAAGGATTGGGAGTTAAAAGTGGGGAAGGACTCTTGCTTTTTGAAACATATGCCTTTCTTTTGGGGGTGTATGCAACATATGTGTATGAGTGCATGTGTACACGTATGTGCATGTATGTGGGGGCTAGAGATCAACGTTGAACCTGCGACTCACTGGCTGGAACCTGGTGAGGTCCTGGGATCCACCTGTCTCTGCCCACGCAGTGCTAGGGTTGTAGAGGTACACCACCATACCTAGCTTCTTATGTGGGCACTGAGGATCCGAACTCAAGTTCTCATGCTTGCATGGCAAGCACTTTTCCCACTAAGCTACCTGCCCAGCCTCAACATACACATTTTCAATAAAGTTTTGAGTGGATAGCCTTGTAGCATCTTTAAAGCCATAAGGTTGTAAGAATTAATTCATGAGGCTCCCCAAGAGATGGCCTGCAGTTGTCATCTTTCTTTCTATGCTCTGGGGCACTATGGAGTGACTTCTTCCAGCGTTCCTACTCAGGAAAGGCCCACAGCTGAGCTCCCTCCTCTCCTGTAGCCCCCTCCCGCGTATGCCCCAGCGCCATGTCCGGAACAGAGCTGACTATGTCCTCTGTGAGAAATTACAGAGAGGTCTCGGCCAGTGACAATGTACAGAAGAGCCAGGGTGCCTGAGATAGATCAGTAGGCAGAGCTATGTAGCAGGTAGGCTCCACACCCTGCAGGAGTCGTGCAAGGAACCCATCTCAGAAGAGGCAGGCCAGCCCTCAGAACCTTCTAGATGCCTTCTGAAAGGCCCCTTGTTTAGGATGAATCCAGTAGAAGAACTCTATCATTAAGGAGAAAAAAATCAGACAGCCTCCTGAGCACACCCAGTCAACAGGAGTCCGGTCACTCCTGGCTCTCAGACCCATACTGTTTTTATCTTATCCTGGGCAGAAGTTTCTATGAAGTGGTTCATTGGAGCAGAATGATACTCGGCAGCAGTATCATTCTTTGGCCAAGAGGATTGAATCTAATCCTCCCAGAGAAGCGTGACAGGGTTCTGAAGCATCCAGTCAGTTTTAATCTGTTTCTCTCGGGAATTTTCCAAGGCCCGTTGCCTCCCGATTTCCACCATGTCATAAGATTGTGGGGTGAAGGAAACATGCAGACCCATCTCTGTACCCACATAGTGGTGACACATCTTGAGGGGAGTCTGGAATCCTAGAGCCCAATACTCTATTCAGCAAGTACTCCTAATTTAGAAAAAAAAATGTAGGGTATTTATTTTACAGTCCACAGGGAGCTTTCTGTCATTTCAAGAGGCAAACAGTAATAGGTATGTCTAACTTGCAGTCCATGGGCCGTATGAGTCCCAGAATAGATATGAACTTGGCCCAACATATCTGTAGGTGACAATATTTTGCCACATTGTGAAAGGTTGGATGCCTTGAAGGGGTGAAATGAGATGTTGAGGTCATGGGAGTATCCTTTTTCAGAGGATGTGAAAGGGACCCAACAAATGACCAGTGACAGCCAGTTACAGCAGACACAAAGACAAGAACAAGACTGCTGGCATCTGCCATTAAGTATCCGTGATCTCTTTCTAAAAAGAGCCTCAGTATAGACTTCCATGATACCTCACCATTCAGAGAAGAAAAGAACATTTGGAGAAACAGGGAATCCCAAAGGATTTACCAGCACCTTCAGAGATGAAGGTGAACAAAAGAGTCTTTGGCTGCCAGGCAGTAACTATGGGAACATCTGTGTCCTTTGTGTACTGAGGATCTGGTCCAGTCCACAAGGAACCTGGGTCCTCCGGGTACCACCCCCATTAGGTAGTTAAGGCTAGAACGTGATAGTGAGAATATTTTAGAATTATGCCATCTGGTAGAACAGCTGTTAAACTCATGACCTGTGGCCAAGATATAGCAGAAAAAAATAATCTCATAAATATTCATGTTTAAAATGAATCCCATCTCTTGGGAGGCAGAGGTAGGTGGATCTCTGAGTTTGAGGCCAGCCTAGTCTACTGGACAAGTTTCAGGACAGCCTGGGATACAAAAACAAAAACAAAAACAAAAACAAAAACAAAAAAAAAACCCTATCTCAAAAAAAAATCAATGAGCCAATAAATAAATAAATAAATAAATTAACTCACATTTCAATATAGTTAAGAGGTAAGTACCCAGAGAATGTGACTACAAGAGGATCCTTAGAGTCCTAAGTCCCATCTGACACAGAGGCCTCCGAAAACCTGTTTAGATCCTCATGTGCCCTACCTAGTTCTCAGGGCAGGGAGGCACCAGTCTTCCTAAGGAGTTTTTCCTAATTCCAAGATGGAGAAAGGGTCAGGGACGACACCCTCACCACCCGTGGTGTGCTGCCATGTGCCTTAGCACTCTGAGCGTGTGACCACGTGGACTCTTGGGGAAGGTGATAGTTCCCATGTTAAAGACAGAAAAACGAGGCTTCCAGAACACAACAGTCTGCTCTTTACCTTGAACCAGGCAGGGAAGGACAAGAGATGTAAACAGGTCTGAGGGACCCCACTTTGTAGTGTGAACCCTGCTTCTAGTCAAATATGTAGAATTTTGACCTACATCCTAAGAACACCGTTTGTGTTTATGTGGTGCACATGTGTGTATATGTTCATGCAGAGGTTAATGATGGGTGGCTTCCTCACTTCTCTGCTTTTTTTTTTTTTTAAGATTTATTTATTTAGTTTACACACACCAGAAGAGGGCACCAGATCTCATCATAGATGGTTGTGAGCCACCATGTGGTTGCTGGGAATTGAACTCAGGTCCTCTGGAAGAGCAGCAGCCAGTGTTCTTAACCTCTGAGCCATCTCTCCAGCCCTTTTGCCTTATTTTTCCACTAAATGACCTTTAATTTAATGGATAAATGAATTGATAATTCAGCTAGCCTGACTGCCTGGCAACCCTAGTGTCTGTACCTCCCAGCACTGGGGTTACAGGCAAGTGCTATCAAGCCCAGCTTCATGGGTGCTGGGGATCCAAACTCAGATCCTCATACACACATAACAAACACTGTTTTTGGAGACAGGGCCTCTCAATAGCCCAGGCTGGCCTTGAACTCCCAATCTTCCACATCAACCTCCCAGATGCTATGATTACAGATGTGCACTACATCTGGCTCTCACAAACATATTTCTAACTCCCTCCCTTCCTTCCCCAAACCCTGAGATACTTACGTAGATTAGGCCCGAGAAGTATCGCTCCCTCAAGTTGTGCAGCACAGAGGCCTCATTGAGGCATGTCAGCTCTGCCATGTCTTCCACCTTGGAGAACTTGGGTGGATTCATTTTTTGGATGTCATCTTTGCCCACTGTGATCTTCTTTCCATTTTCCACCAGCTCCACAACCACCTCATCACCCTTCTCCTCCTTGACGCTGGCTGCCTCAAAGCCCTGCTTCTCTGAAGGGACCCATACCAGCTTCTTGGCCACCCAGTCGGCCTGGGCCATTGGGCTGTTAATGAAGTTTTTGTCCACAAAGAGGAACTTCTCATCATCGCTGAGTTGTCCTTTCTGTGCCATGGTGGCTGATGGTCCCCTGTCGAGTGGAGAGATGGGGTCAGAGTAAAGCCTAGAGACAAGCAGGCCCTCACCTCACCCATCTAGGGATGAAGGGTGTGGAAATACCTCACAAAATATTAAGAATCCTCCCTGTAGTATTGGTTATGTTATTAAAAAGGGTGATAAGCCCAAGGCCCTCCAGTGAAGGAATGACCTGAGAATCTCAAGTGTCCACCTGTGTGGGACTAGACATGTAAACCAGGGCATTTTTCCACAGTGAACTACTTCTTGGTGCTTAAGAAGTTTGTATGACCACTTTCTAAATATAACCCTAGCAGCACAGACACTGAGAGAAACAATTAATAAATGGGACCTCCTGAAACTGAGAAGCAAAGGATACAGTCAACAAGACAAAATGACAGCCTACAGAATGGGAAAAGATCTTCACTAACCCCACATCAGACAGAGGGCTGATCTCGAAAATATACAAAGAACTCAAGAAATTGGAAACCAAAAGATCACATAATCCAATTAAAAAAAAAGTGGAGTACAGACCTAAACAGAGGACTCTCAACAGAGGAATCTAAAATGACTGAAAAACACTTAAGGAAATGCTCGCCATCCTTAGTCATCAGAGAAATGCAAATCAAAGCAACTCTGAGATTCTATCTTACACCTGTAAAAATGGCCAAGATCAAAAACACTGATGATAACTTATGCTAGAGAGGTCATGGGGTAAAGGTAACATTCCTCCATTGCTGGTTGAAATGCAAACTGGATATCAGTGTGGCAATTTCTCAGAAAAGTAGGAAACAAGCTTCCTCAAGACCCAGCAATACCACTTTTGGGTATATACGCAAACGATCCTCAATCATACCACAAGGACATGTGCTCAACTATGTTTATAACAGCTTTGTTTGTCATAGCCAGAACCTGGAAACAACCTAAATGCCCCTCAACCAAAGAATGGATAAGGAAAATGTGGTACATTTATACAATGGAGGACTACACAGCAGAAAAAAAATAATGGCATCTTGAAATCTGCCGGCAAATGGATGAATCTAGAAAACATCATATTGAGTGAGGTAACCCAGACCCAGAAAGACAAATATCATATGTACTCACTCATAAGTGGCTTTTAGACATAAAGCAAAGAAAACCAACCCACAAATCACAATCCCAGAGAACCTAGACAACAATGAGAACCCTAAGAGAGACATACATGGATCTAATCTACATGGGAAGTAGAAAAAGACAAGACCTCCTGAGTAAATTGGGAGCATGAAGACCATGGGAGAGGGTAGAAGGGGATGGGGAGAGGAATGGAGAGGAGCAGAGAAAAATGTATAGCTCAATAAAATCAATAAGAAAAAAATTTAAAAAAGAAAAAAAAAGAAGTTTGAAAGTGCTGGCATGGGAAGATACATAAACTTTCCTTTTTTTTTTTTTTTACTGACTCTGTACACCAGGCTGGCTTCAAACTCAGAGATCTACCTGCTTCTGTCTCACAAGTGCTGGGATAAAATATGTGCACCACCACCACCTTGCTAGCAGATAACTAAATCTTAACTGCCTGCTACAAAATAAAAGGCAGGTCTTCTGATAAACACAGAACTACCGTATGATCCAGGAATTTCATTTGTAAGATAAATGAACGCATCAATGCATCTAAGAATGTGGTCCTAAATGCTCCTAGCAGGTTTATAATAGCCCCATAGTAGGAACATCACAATGCCTAAGAACAGACAGAAGAATAAATAAAATGTGGCAGCTTTATACAGTGGAATAGGCCATAAAAAGGAACAGAATGTCGCACCTGCTAGAGTGTGGCTAAATTTGAAGACAATGCTAAAAGAAAGAACACATTTATCAGAAATGTCCAGAATAGGCAAATCCATGAAAACAAAGTCATCCTCAGCTACTTGGGAAGTTCAAAGCCATCCTTGGCTACATGAGATCTTTTTTCTTTTTGCTGTTTTTTTTTTTTTTTGGATTTTTCAAGACAGGGTTTCTCCGCAGCTTTTGGTTCCTGTCCTGGAACTAGCTCTTGTAGACCAGGCTGGCCTCGAACTCACAGAGATCTGCCTGCCTCTGCCTCCCGAGTGCTGGGATTAAAGGCGTGTGCCCCCCCCCCCCCCCCCCGGCTTTGTTTTGTTTTTTAAATAAAAAAGTAATAAAACCTTTAAGGGAGGATGGTATTGAGAGATGGTTCATGGAGTAAAAGTGATTGCCACAAAACCTGATGACCTGAGTTCACGCCTCAGGGTCCACATGGTGAAAAGAGCAAACCAGGGCTGGAGAGATGGCTCAGCGATTAAGAGCTTTGCCTGCTTTTCCAAAGGTCCTGAGTTCAATTCCCAGCAACCACATGGTGGCTCACAACCATCTGTACTGAGGTCTGGTGCCCTCTTCTGGCCTGCAGGCATACACACAGACAGAATAAGAGCAAACCAACTCATGCAAGCTGTCCTGGCTTCTACACATGCACCACGGCATGTGTGAGCCCATACACATATACACCCATGAAATAAATGTTCATTGTTAATTTTTTTTTTTTTTTGGTTTTTCGAGACAGGGTTTCTTTGTGGTTTTGGAGCCTGTCCTGGAACTAGCTCTTGTAGACGAGGCTGGTCTCGAACTCACAGAGATCCGCCTGCCTCTGACTCCTGAGTGCTGGGATTAAAGGCGTGTGCCACCACCGCCCGGCTTCATTGTTAATTTTTAAAAAGGAGAATAAGATAAAACAAAACTTACATTAAGCACATAGTTCAACGTGTGATGTGTACTTCACATTTTCTATAATAGATGAGGACCTTTTTAAAGGAGCTCCAGTCACTCAGTAGTGTGTAGGAGTAGGGTGTCATTCTTCCTCAACTGCAGCAAGCTCTTTTTAAATTGCATCAAAGTTAAAAAAATCACAAAACACACAACAGAAAAATGAAAAGACACGGAGATATCATCTAAACCAGGGCTCGGAAGCACAGACAATATTAACTGCAAAAATTGAGTCTCTGGCTAAAAAAGGAGAGAGGGCAGCTTGCTGCTCCCTGAGGCTTTGTTGCCCTTGCCAGTGTGAAGCACAAGACTGCTTTGGTCCAAGCCAGGGATGCTGAAATTCTGATTTACAGCCTGGGTGCTTTGGAACCCTGATGCCCAGGAATATTTGGTGTTGGAGGAGGGGCGAGAACAGGATCAAGGATGCTTTTCAAACACAGCAGTAAAGACGAAGCCAGCAGGCAGGGCACAATTGACAACACTCAGACCTGAGTTTGAATCTCCCTAACTGACATGAAAAGCAAGGCTTGCCATGTGTGATTGTGACCCCAGGACCTGAGGGGGGTGGGAGACATGCAAGTTCAGACAGCTTGACGACAGAAACAGGGAGCTTCCAGTTCAGTCAGAGCCTGTTTCAGGGCTGAAGTATACTCACACACCCACCTGCATGCACCCCTCCACAACACACACACACACACACACACACACACACACACACACACACACAGAAGGTATGTGCCACAAATTCCTTGCCTTTCACTAAAAAAAGCAGAGCCTAGAGAGGACATCCCAGTTCGTGACAGATTTTATAATCAGAAAACTTGTGGGGAGAGGGGCTCCCAGATCAACACTGGATAGGCACTAAGCCCCCAGTGATCCAGTAATATCTGCTAACCATATGGAGTGATAATTACTCTCTCATTTAATCCCATAAGTAAGTAAGTAAGTAAGTAAGGAAGGAAGGAAGGAAGGAAGGAAGGAAGGAAGGAAGGAAAGAAGGAAGGAAGGAAGGAAGTAACAGAACCCTAGGATATGGCTAGGACATAGCCCAGAGGCGGAGTGCTTGCCTGGTATGCTCCAGGCCCTGGGTTCCCATTACCAGCATCTAAAACACAATGCAAAAAACATATTTAAGGTGAGAGAGGACAATTTAAAGGCAGAACACTTGCCTAATATGCCCTAGACCCTAGGTTTTATCCCCAGCATCAGAAACACTTGTTTACAAATGAGGAAACTGAGGCACACAGAGGCAAAGTTGGTTGTCCATCCTTTTAGTTGGTTGTTGTGGCCTCTGAAGAAAAAGCTTTTGTTTGGTGTGTGTGTGTGTGTGTGTGTGTGTGTGTTTAGAAATTTGAGGAGGTAGGCAGAGAACCTGAAGGCAGAAAGAATTCCAAACATGCAGACAACATATCCTGCCTCTGTTCTTAGAAGTTCAGGGTAACTCAATTTATTGTCAGAAGGACTTGCCAGCCAGGCACAGAGGGACACATCTGTAGTTCCATGATGGAGGAAGCAGATTTGAGGGAAGCCTGGGCTACAAAGAGAGACTGTCTCAAAACAAACAAACAAACAGACTGGGATGTGGTACAGTGATGATGGGATGTGGTACAGTGATGGGATGTGGTACAGTGATAATGGGATGTGGTACAGTGATGATGGATGTGGTACAGTGATGATGGATGTGGTACAGTGATGATGGATGTGGTACAGTGATGATGGATGTGGTACAGTGATGATGGATGTGGTACAGTGATGATGGATGTGGTACAGTGATGATGGATGTGGTACAGTGATGATGGATGTGGTACAGTGATGATGGATGTGGTACAGTGATGATGGATGTGGTACAGTGATGATGGATGTGGTACAGTGATGATGGATGTGGTACAGTGATGATGGATGTGGTACAGTGATGATGGATGTGGTACAGTGATGATGGATGTGGTACAGTGATGATGGATGTGGTACAGTGATGATGGATGTGGTACAGTGATGATGGATGTGGTACAGTGATGATGGATGTGGTACAGTGATGATGGATGTGGTACAGTGATGATGGATGTGGTACAGTGATGATGGATGTGGTACAGTGATGTTGGGATGTGGTACAGTGATGTTGGGATGTGGTACAGTGATGTTGGGATGTGGTACAGTGATGATGGGATGTGGTACAGTGATGTTGGATGGGAAGGGGCACAGTGATGGGATGTGGTACAGTGATAATGGGATGTGGTACAGTGATGTTGGGATGTGGTACAGTGA